TCTTCCGATGCTGCTGCTTCCTCCTGCTAAGTAAATAAATAAATAGACAGCAAAATGAATAAATAAATAGATTAATAAATAAATAAAATGCCCCAGGCCAAGGCTGTTTGCAGGCTCAGTGGTATTTTGAGCACTGCTGCCTGCTGCACTGTCTGAGTCCGGATTTGCACAACTTCTGTGAGCAGCCCTAGTGCGTGGTGGCAAGGCCAAATGATATGAGTTGGTGTCCATTAATAGTCTGCAGGTTGCTTTTTCTTTTAAGACCCTGGGAAGCAATGGCTCCTGAGATCTTGCCATTAACAGTAATGCATTTTGCATTAGTCTGTCACAGTTGGGGACCCCGAGAGCAGAGCAAAGCCATCACGTGCCCAGCCATGCCGCGCACAGAAACCACCCACCTAACGTGCTGCTTACCACAGGTGTCTGCAGATCAAACTCCTTGTTTGGGCAGAATCGCAGGAGATTCTTAGGTACCAAAACCCTATGTGCTACCCTGCCTGCAGTGTGTTGTCTGCGTGCGCCAGTGCGCAGGGTAGTGATCATGGGTACAGTTGGTTTTACAGCAGTTGGTGGCTCCCAGCATCGCAAACTGACTCTGGTGCTTCAGTTTTGTCTGCAGAGCTCCCCCCCTCTGCGTCGCTTTCTGTACGAGTGAGCGAGCGCTGCTCCAAGAGGAAAAGTACAGACCGTGCTCTGCTAGCACGCTGACAAAAATTGATCTCTGCTTTAATTAAAGCCTCTATTGTAAGTGACCTCGAGCAGCGAATGCATTTTAAAAATGAAACCTCACCAGCAGCAGATCTGCACACCCCACATCAAGGGGTGACCAGGCGGTGATCCGTGGACCATCTCCCCTGTGCTGTGCGGGCTGTGCAGTGAGCTGTGCCTCCCTGGAGGTTGTCCCACCACACCGGCACTGCGTGCCCGGGGGACACAGAGCTGATGTCCTCAGGTGCTGGCAGGGGAAGGATACCATTCTGCCACCAACTTGAGCAATGGACTGTCCCTGTTGCCGGTGGGTTGTCTTTTCCCTCCCCAGCATCTAGCCATTGGGATGCTTTTGCTCTCACCTTATGCATGTCTTGTGGGGATGCAGCCACTGAGACCCCTTGTGATCCTGGAGCAAAGGTCCCAAAAGTAGCACATGGAAGAACATGATTTGTTCCAGCGCTAGCGCCAAGAGGATCCTTGGGGGATAACCCAGAGCCTTCTCCTCACAGTGCTGGTGCAAAGGAATGCCTGGTGCAATGGCCTCCAGCATGCAGCACTGCATTGGCCTCAGCTGTGGAAAAATAAATCATGAGTATATGCACATCTAAAGGCTTGTAAGCTAGAGGAGATTCCGCCACTTGCAATGAAGTGATTTGAAAGGGAGAAAAAGCACAAAAAGGGTCTCACAGGCAGCAGGCACAACAGCCATACGGATATGACCGCCTCCCCCTCCGCAGTGAGACCCAGCCGCGGTGTGATGCAGGACCAGCGGATGCCGCAGCTGCTCTCGCAAGCACCATGGTAACACCGTGGCGCCAGCGCCTCACCAGCAGCAACATGCGGGCTGACCGTGCTGCACTGTGTCCACACCAGCCCCCAGCCTGTCCAGCCTCATGAGGGACGGATGGGAGCTTGGAGTGGGGGTGTGAACCCCTGGGTTCATGTCACGGGGGTGACACTGTGCTAAGGGGTGAGTTCTGGGGACCTGGGTCACTGCATCTCTCTTATGAGGAGAGACTGTGGGAGTTGGGCCTGTTTAGTCTGATGAAGAGCAGACTGAGAGGGGAATCTCATTAGTGCATGTAAATACCTCAAAGGCGGGTGCCAGGAGGATGGTGCCAGACTCTTCAGTGGGGCCTAGTGACAGGACGAGGACCAATGGCCATAAACAAAACACAAGAAGTTTCATCTCAACATGAGGAGGAACTTCTTTACACTGAGGGTGGCAAGAGTACTGGAACAGGCTGCCCAGTGGGCTTGTGAAGTTTCCCTCTCTGGAGACATTCAATATCTGCCTGGACGTGTTCCTGTGTAACCTCCCGGCAGTGGCCCTGCCTTGGAAGGGGGTCGGAGTAGGTGCTCTCCAGAGGTCACTTCCAACCCTAATGATCCCAATTCTGTGATTCTGTGACCACAGAACGGTGGGATTTAGGTATTACAGACCTGCCACCCACTGCCTGGGGCAGCCAATGGCTTCCCCTGTTTTTTGACCCAGCTGGTGGCCGTTTCATTCGACACCAAGTACCTGACAGCCACAGCAGAAGCTCCTGCCCGGGCAAGTTGCTTTTCACCCCAGTACTTCCAGAGGGGGACCCTGAGGAGACATGTGTATAGTGAAATCCCAGCGGTGCGCCCCAGAGCACAGTCCTCCTCCCAGCCCCAACTCTGCCCTGCTTGCAAACCAAGGTAGCAACCAGGGCTATGGAGATGGTCTTATTCCCTGCCTGGCTCATGCTTTGTGTCCTGCCTGCCTGCCTGTACCAGAGGTCTCGCTGTGGGCAGGGGGGTGGCAGGGCTGGTCTCAGTGCCACGTGCTGCCTGTCACCGTTCTCCAGGGCTCTGATGTGCCTAATGATGAATTCCAAGGCCTTTGAGAAGGGATTATGTCTTGTCTTCCAGAGACTAGAACAAAATATAATAAACTTAAAATAGCTGCTTCCTTATGGAATATGCCAACAAGCCCTACTGAAAACCCAGCAGAGTGCAAATTTGCATAAATTTGCATTCATCTCCATAATTTCTGCCTCACCCATCAGACCTGCTCCCGTAATGAAGCGCTGCCTGACACTGCAGGCACACAATGCAAACACATGCCAGGCCACAGACACTGCCACTAACGAGGCCCCTCAGTGCCACTGCCACGACTCTCGTTAGACAGGCCAGCATGACTGTCCCACCCATTGTGCTCCCGCCTGCATCCCTCTGCAGGGACCCTGGCACAGCACCAAAACCATTTCCCCTTGTGCCACAAGAAAACAATCTCTCTTGTCAAAGGAAATAGCATGATAAACCCCCAGCTACGTCCAAGAGGGTCTTATAACTGTCAGCCTGTGTGCAGAGCTCGGGCGGCTCACCGGAGGAGATGGGGAGGGAAATGCTTGCTCAGGACTGTGCCTCCTGCCAGCGTCTAGGGGATGGGAGTGATGTTCCTGAGATGCACCCTGAGCAGAGATCCCTCAGCACTGTGCACACTGCTGGAAAGAGAAATAATCTCCTTTCAAACCCAACTAATGGGTCCAAGCCCTGAAGGCTCCAGGCTACATTTTGAAATGTTTGAGCACCGAATTTCTATCATGCACCCAGGGGCGCATCCTTTGGCCTGCTACATGCCCTGGGCAAGTCCAACATGGGGCTGGGTAAAGCATGGGGTGCTGAGTTAGACTCCAACTTCCCCAGGTATCACCTGAGACCCGAATCTCAATGTCAAACTGTCTAAAAATGATTGATGCTTACACAACAGTTTTAAAACCAGAAGCAGCACCAGGGAGGCCACGCATGCATGGCTGAGCCCTGATGGCAAAGGTTTGCTGTGGTTTCCTTCACCATGTGGACACTTTTATTCAGGTAGGATCTGTTTGTGGTTGATGTGAGGGGCTGCAAGGGCTGGAGAGGAGGTGGTGTCCCCATGGAGGTGTTGGATACGTCAGCACAAGGTCACGCCATCAGGTCTCTGTCTCATTTGCATCATACAGAGGGTTGAGGTAGAAGACTCGGTGGTCTCTGTGAGTCATCTCCTGCAGTGTTTCCTTTCCAGGGTCAGCTCTTGGTGGCTCCTGCAGCAGTGACGGAGGGAAAAGCAACTGATGGGAAAGGGAAGCAACACCCTCGCCAGGGAAGGAACCCCTGCAAGTGAACTGCACCCTGTGTGGCACCCGTACGGGCACACGAGCAGGTCCTGGCTGGGGCCCTGCCACCTCCTGCCCACAGCCCTGAGCATCCCTGTCCCTAGGCACTGGACTCACCACATCGAACATGGGGTTGTCAAAGCCTTTGTCACTGCCTGGTGCAGGGGGTGCTGGGTCTTCAGCTCTGTCCCAGAGATGGGGAAAGTGCAGGGCAGGCAACCTGGGGAGAGACCTGGGCATCATCCACCCACATCTCCCCCATTCCAGCAGCCCTCCCAGCTGAAATCCTGCATATTTGAGAGGTGGATGGGAAAATATGGGGCAAAGTTTCAGGCTGTCTTTGAAATGGGATGTTTGTTTCCCAGGGAAAAGCTGACATATCCAGTAGAAACCATTAAGCTCAGAGGTCTGGGACCTGGATGCTGGAGAGAAGTTTGTCAGAGGCAGACAGCCCTAGTACAAGCTTCACTTCAGAGCCATCGCTCTCCTCCCCCGTGGCCTAAAATGAATTGCCACGAAGCCGACACCTGTTCCCACTGCAATCTCAACAAGCACTAATTGCTTTTATCATTACTTTTATCATGTTATCGTTTTATCATCTTAATCACCATCACTACTATTATTATTTCCATCATTACTCTTACACTAAGTGTCCCAGTTGCTAAGAATCATGTCCTGAACCAGGCTCAGCAGTGGGTCCACACACGTCACCACTGGTCTTGAAAGCCCACCGGTATTGAAACACTGCAGCCACAGGCTCTATGTATGCAATTGGAGGAGCTGTGCTATCTGCAGGGAGGCTGTGCGAGGCCCTTTTTGGGGGGAACAAGCTAAATCTGCTGTTTTGCCGGTGGTCGGTAGCTCTGCTGCATGCAGGCAGACTGTTTGCAGGCTCCCAGAGCCTCCAGTGAAATTTGCAGCACCCCTGCTGGTGTCTGATGCCTCCACGATGCTCAGCAGCACTGCCTGAAAGGGCCCTGCCCTGGAGCCAGCCAGGGACACGCAGCAGGAGCAGGTCAGCTAGGGACATGGCCTGGGCTCAGGTTCAGCTCTGTCTCCTGTAGCTACATGAACTTCCCTCCTGCTGCTGACAAAGCTGGTTTCAAAGACCTGTCCAGCGTCCAAAGAAGTGTCAGTGGAAGATAAATCATTAAGTAGCAATTACGGGGCTGGGAGTTTTATTTAGAAATTAAATGAAGGCATGGGTTTATTGCTAGGAAATACCATGTCAGCACGTGCTGACCGGCAGGACAAGCATCCCTGGCCACCGCTGCTGCTCTGAGGGAAGAAAACACCGGCAGAGGAACTGGCAGGGAAGAAACAGCCTGATTTGTGATCCTGTGACTCCCCAGCCCAAGTACTGGGGAGCTCAGCTTCCCCGGGCAGACATCAGTGCACCTTCCCACCTCCTGGTTATAAACCGCGCAGGGTCCACCCCGCCTGCCTGAAGTCAGGTAGGTGAGACCAGCCATAGCACTCAGCAGATGGCCTTCTGCACAAGGATGTACAACAATAAACCCTGAAAAGCCCTCCACATGAAGGCGGATGCATGGGTGAGGAGCAGAGGTGGGTGCCCTGAGCACCTAGCAGGTGCTGGGATGCCCTATTCACTGCCAGAGCCTGTGTCCAAGCTGTGAGGGGAAAGCATGATGGAAAAGGGGCATTTCTGACCAGCTCCCAGCTGTGGTGTGGTCAGGTGCCATGTGCCCCGCCATCCAGAATGGATGAGCCAGGGATGCTCCAGAAGATGTGTTTGCTTTTGGATGCCGTCTCTCCTTCTCATGGTACAAAGCTGCAGGATGAGTGTTTTGAATTATTTTGATGCATTTCTATTTAGCAGCTGGCAGTTTCAGCCCTCAACCCCCTGGAAGGCTGCAAACTAATGGTTACAAGGAACAGGAGACGTTGCCAGGCAGCATGACCAGACTGTGCACAGCTCCAACTGAGCTGCAGCAGCCCTGCTCCCTCCAGAGCACATAGCTCCATGCCAAGAAGCAGCCATGACGCCAAGTCTCCCGGCCATGGAGGACACTGCAGAGCAGTCCAAGAGTACACAAGTGCCTTTCAGCCACCTCACCTCCAATAAACCATGAGGAACAACAAGGGCAACGATTTTAAACTAAAAGAGTGTAGATTGAGATTAGATATAAGGAAGAAGTTCTTCACTGTGAGGGTGGTGAGGTGCTGGCACAGGCTGCCCAGAGAAGTTGTGGCTGTCCCATCCCTGGCAGTGTTCAAGGCCATGTTGGATGGGCCTTTGAGCAACCTGGTCTACTGTGAGGCGTCCCTGCCCCTGGCAGGGGGTTGGAACTAGATGATGACTAAGGTTCCTTCCAACCCAAATCATTCTGTGGTTCTACTAACCAGTAATGTTAGGTATAGCAGACTGCCTGGCCATGCCACTGTGGGAGTTCTGGGCAGCACTGTGTGCCTCTCTGCTACCAGGCTAGCTGGAAGGACAGCCGCGGGTGACAGCTACCCCCAGGCAGGATAAGCCTGGCAGTACCCTGCCAACAGAAGTCCCATCCCTACCTTAGCTTTCCCTTTCTGTGGAGAAAGAGGATCCCTCCAAGGAACAGGAGACCGAAGAGTAACCCCAGGACTGTCCCCGTTGTGATGCTGCTCAATGCGTGGTTCCCCACTTGCTCGCTGAAAGCGTTGCTGGTGGCCACCTCCATTTTGCCACTTGAAATGCCGAGTGCTTCACCTGGGAAAGGGCAGGAAGAAATAGGGGTGAGGACTGGACAGGGCAGCACATCCCCACGCCAACTCACGCACAGGGCAGAGGGAGCCTGCAGTTGGGTCTGGCACTGCTTGCCTGGTTGATCACCTTTCCCTGGGGACAGGGAATAGGATACACAGCTGGGTGGACGCAGCTGGGTGGACTCAACTGGGATAAGCCCATGTGGTTCTGCTACCCAGACAACAACCACCAGGTCTCCTGGCTGCAACCTACATGCTTACCAGCATCTGCCAGCCTACATGACTGCCTCCACGCGCAACATTCTGGCTGGAAAACAACTCTACAGAGAGGGGTCCAAGCTGACGGTGGCCAGACATGGCATGGAAAGGCAACAGTATCCTAAGCTGCATGAGCAGGAGGATTGCCAGCAGGTCAAGGGAGGTGACGCTTCCCCTCTGCTCTGCTCTGCTCTGGTGAGACACAGCTGGAGTGCTGACCCAGGCAGTGACAGGGCAAGAAGCAATGGGCACAAATTGAAATATAGTAAATTCAAGTTAAATATAAGAGAAAACTGGTTTACTATAAAGGTGGACGATTGCAAGGACAATGCAAGGACAGTGGTGTTACCATGCTGTGCTATGTCCTCCATGATGTCTGCTGCTAGCTGTTCCACAATGCTGCTGGTCTGCAGCCCTGTTCCGTCATGGATCAGCACAATTTGGATGATAGGAGTGGAGCTTCGGGGTATGACTCCCAGGAAGGTCTGTTCTTTTTGCACCTTGGATATGGCCATCTGCAAGCCAGTGTACTTGGGCTTTTCAAAAGACAAGGAGATTCATAAATCCCATGAGAGTGGTAGGCAGGAATTAGTCACCTCTACAGACACCCATGATGGATGCACCATCAAGGCACACCTATAAATCTTCATATGAGACCCATCACAGAGCTGCCAACCCTGTTACCACAGTGCTGCTGTGTTTCCCAAATAAGAGGTTCATACCTCCCCTCCCTTCCAAGCTGTAACCAGCACCCAGCACGCAGCGTTCTCCTGTGGAGGCAAGTGCACTGAGAAAGCAATTTCATGGAGCACACCCGTTGAACCTGTATTAAGACATGTATGGCTGTAAGGAGAACAGGCAGCAGGCTTTCAGGTTGGGATCAATACAGTAATACTTTGGTATTGATCCTCCCAGTGTATCTCGGAGAACGTCTCCTCCCCCCAGCAGCTCCCAGCCAGGAGGAAGGATGTCATGCTGTGTCTGACAAGCAGCAGCATGGAGTGATGCCTTACAGGGCATGCATTGAGTGCTGATCAGTGCCAGTTACCCACCCAGCACTAGTCCACTGGGGAATGAAAAGCAGCCTAGCATTGGGAGCCATGTCCCAGAGGCTCCGGGATCCCCTGCTGCAGGTTCACATGACCCCAGCCCCATGGGCTGACCTCCCATGATAATCTCCTAGATAACCTAGACCTGACCTCCTGGCTGGCCTCCTGTGTTTTCTGGACCAGTTTCCAGTAAGCCTCCCTGCAGCCTTCCCCATCTACATGGCAGCAGCAGTTCCTGCACTGTGCTGAGAGGGGCAGCATAGCCACGGTGGGGGGCAAGGGAGGCTGTGGCAGACCCCCTGGCAAGCTGGCACATCCAAGGGGCCAAATAGGGGGTGAGGCCTGCAGTATGGTGGTAAGTGAGGCTGAGCCCCCTGAACTGATGGAACTGCATGTGCCCCCAGACAGCCGCACCAGCACCAAGTCACCGGCAAACATGGCTGGTGGCTTGTGGTCCTATTAGCCCCTCCCAATCCAGCGGGCTGATGTACCTGGCTTAGCAAGGCTTGGGCCAACCTGTCCTGGTACTTCTGCAGGTCAAAATCAGGAGTGAAATCCAGGTTAATGGTGGCTCCTGCAGCCCAAAAAGAGACAGAAATGATGTTGTCACCAAGCTTAGGCATAGGGCTGCTGCGGCAGCACAGCTCCCACTGCCATGAAAAACACTGGGGACCCTCTGGTACCTCTGTGTAACGGATCTGGCTGGGCTGAGAAGAGGTGGCCCCACAGCCCTGCCTGAACAGCACTGCCCCAGGAAACCTCCCCCTTCCTCACTGGTCTTATTATCATCTGGGTTTCATGAAAGGCTTTTGGTTTCCACCATATTCCAGAGAGAAGCTTTCTCCCCCGTACCCTCTGGAAAGCTCTGTATGTACCTGGTTTCAGGGCTACAAGGCTGAGACTCAGCAATGCTACCCTGGCTCTGGAGAGGACACCTGTGCTCCCCATATGGCTGCACTGCACTCATTAAGCCAAGTATTTTCCTTGGAAAAAATGCAAGTGAGCATTTGTTGAAATACAAAATGCTCCTAAAGGCTGTAAGGGGCTCTGCTTTTAGGAGCATGTTAGACAGAGAAACATATGGTGCCATTTTAATGAGTTTGGTATGATATACCAAATGTGATACACCAAATATCTAGGTACAATCGGGCATGAAAAATTCTCCTTAGCAGCCTTCCAGGTAGATTAATGGAGAAGTGCCCATTGCAGAGGGAGCGCTGTCAATCTGCATGTTTCTATTATAAATGAAATGAAACAAACTTGCTGTTGGAAAGCTGACACTACAGTGACAAAGGTGCGTTCTCTCTGAGTGCTTTCCACTGCACAGACTCAGCAGAGCCCTATCAGCTTGACTAGCTGTGACATCCTGACAGGATAAACTGGAGGCGGGGACAAAGGGCTGCACTCCAAAAAGGCTTCCAAAAGCCAGGCTGCCGTTTCAGATGATAGGATGTGGATGGGACTTGTGGGAGCAGTGATACAGCAAAACTCCAGCCCACGACCAGCAGCACCCCTGCACCCAGCTTTCCCCCATGGAGCTCGGGGAAAGGCAGGGAGGAGGAACAGGGGCATGCCCCCCACTCACCACAGACTGGGCAGCAGTGGCCAAGGGGCTGCAAAGGCCTCTGGCACGCTGGTGCTGGGCACTGCCCTCCCAATGCCCTGAGCAGGGCTGTGCAGATGCGGTGGCCATCCTGAAGGAGAGCAGGGCAGCGTCAGTCCCTCGCCCCGTGAGCTGCGATGTTACCCCCAAACTGCGATGGGAGGACTCACCAGTGTGTTCCCGCAGGCACAGCCGGACTTGTCGAGACAACCGGAGCCCGTCACCTGCAGAGTGCCATTGCCGTGGAACTGCAGGGCGGCGGAGGGGCCGCGCAGGTACCCAGCCCAGGCCTCGGGGCTGCTGAGCTCCTGTGTGGGGAGCAGCAGCAAAGCGGGTGAGTGTCCCCAGACAGGTCCCACTGCTGGCCCGAAGCACCCACTGGACACCCAGCGGCACATCTGACAGCCAGCTCCATCGCAGGCAGTGAGTGCAGCAGGAAAATCCTGACAACACACCCATTCAGGCTTCTCAACAGGGCCAAAGTAAGAACCCTTTCTAATTGAAAACCAAAGAAAAGGGACACAAATAAATCATGACATGGCTGGGCTTTCTTGACACCTTGCTTTCCCTCCTGCTGGCCCAGAGAATTCAGGTTATCAGCTTTCAATTACTGGGAGGAAAGGGCTGGATCTGAGGTGCCTTCCTCCAATCTGGGAAGCATTTAAGTGGGCTTGGCATTAGCAAAGGCTGAGCTGGACTGACCAGCCTGTCCAGCCCAGCCACCGGTAATTCCCTCACTCACTGTGTTCCACAGGAGGCTTCTCCATGCCCTGGCACAATAACAGGATTTCTCAACCCCTGAGCTGAAAATAGGCCATAGAGCAAGGAGTGCAAGGGCTGGCTACAAAGGGACAAAGTAGCTTATAAGGTCAGGTTTTAGGAAATACACTATAATCACAACAATAAAAAGCACCTTCTCCTTCCATGTCATCGCTCAGCAGCAGCCTCCTCCCCGGAGCACAGCCAGCTACAGGGGGGTGGCTGTGAGGGGATGATGTGCCATTGGGCAATACCCAGGCATTAGCGGGCTGGGCATCACTCTGAGCACCCAAGAGCATCCACCTCTGCATCCCTGGGGCTATGTGTGCCAGAGGTGCTACCTTGTCCAGACTCGCCTGCACTCACTTGGATACCAACTGAGTTTATTAGTCAAAAAGCAGTTACCTCATGCCTGGCCCCAAAATGGCAGATCCCAGGCAGCACAGCAGCAGAAATAATAAATAACTTATGAAATGTCTGCCACATCTCTCCCTCCTGGAAGGAGCCTGTGTTTACTGCTGCAGTGCCTGTGATCTTTCACTTCGACCGGCGAGGCACCGGGCTCATTGTGCGCCTGACTCCCGGGCTGAAGCACAGCAGGCTGCCAGCGTTTCTATAATTATCCCTCCAATCAATTAAAGAGCAGCGCTGAAGCAAAGCTGGGAGATGATTGCTGACACACAGGCCATGTTAAGGTCCAGGGCAGGAGGGAGGTGTCCCCAGAGGGTCCCTGCACAGTGGGGCTGCAGACACGTGCTGGAGAAGATGCCATTTGGTGGTGGTCTGACCTGTGCATGCTGGCCTTTTTTTTAATGTGAATAGTGAGACAGTTTGTCTTCCACACTGCAGGGAGGGAGATGGTAACAGACTGGTAGAGGAAACACATTGAGACCATCCACAGCAGCAGCTGCAACCCATGAAGCTGCAGCTCCTTGGGAGTGCCCCATCTCCCCACACAGTGCTGTGACTCCATCCCTAGCTGGCCCTTCCTCTCCTGATCTACTTTGTGGCTTGAGGGGGCTTCAAGCTGTTTTCTCATCATCCCCATGTTACCTGGCCCATGAGAGAGATGCTGCGGAGATGAATCACTTGCTGTGATGAGTCGACGTTTACCCTGAAGGAGGTTTCGGGCTGGAAGATAATATCATCATAGTGGCATGGGACACGTTCCTCATCCACAGAAAAGATGCGCCTGCTTGGCTCGAGCTCCCCGACAGGGGACACAGGCTGCCACAGTGTGGGGTCGAACCACGCGTGGTGCTCAGCATCAGCAAACCTCACTGTTGCACCTGGAAAAGCAACAGGAAAGGTCGAGCACGACCCAGACCCAAATCGCAGCCCAAATGGATGCACCTAGGTTGGTAAAACCAGGCACTGGTTGGCCTGAAGCAGAGGAGCTCATGCTGCAGGCAGGGAGTGAAGGGCTGGCTCTGGCATCGCCCTCACAGGCAGCTGCCACAGGTACTTCCCAGAGCTTAGCAAAGCTTTCTAGTGCTCAGGGCTGGGGTCTCAGCAGCTCAACCTGGACCTCACTTTGGCTGCAGGCCTCTGGCCCCACATCCCACAGGGCATCTTTCCCCCTTTTATTTAAAGCTCAGCATTATGGTTAGAGAGGAAAATGGCTGCCCAAATGTTGAATAACAGCTAAACTGGATAAAAACGGGTATGATAATTCATGTCCCAGTTTCCAAGCCGCCTGTCAGGCCTACAGAAACGTGACTGGCCCTGCAGCAGGTAACCCCAAAAACAGTGCCTTATTTAACCAATAACCTCAATTATTTAATCATTAACCATTTCTCTGCTGGTCACAGTTAGTATCATCATGCAGTTCCCTGCTTCCTCCTCACCCTTCCCCAGCAGCTGAATCTTTACCACTTCAGCTAGCATGCAGGTGTTTATTGAATGAATTGCTTGTGTTCATTTTAAAAGCATGCTTTAAAAAAATCCATTCATGAAAGTTGCCCCAAAACGACTGTTGGTTTCATGGGAGCAGTTTTAGCAGGAAATGCGCAGATGCCAGAGCATCCCTGATGGGGACAGCCAGACCCAAAGGATTTCAGAGTGACTCCAGGCAGCCTGATGCTATAGTCCTTCCTCTGGGCAGACCTGCTTGGGCTTTTTCTCTCTTTTTCCTCTTTTTTTGCCAGTCAGAGTACAGGCACTCTGTGTGGACTTTTCTTTTCCTGCAGCTGAACTAAAAACTTGCCAATGAAAGCATTAGTTAGAGCTTAAACACCCAAAGTACATCTCTGTAGCAAACAGCTACCAGACTAGTAACAGGCACCGATGAAACAAACGTGTTGTCTCAGTCACGGAAAACCTGGGCTGGAGGCTAAGAGGGGAGAGAATGATGTGCTTACGCCGAAATGCCTGTGGGCATTGGGCCAAGGGCCAGCTCGCTGCAGTGGCTGCAGTTCAGCTCACCCGTATGCAACACCTAACCAGTTCTCTTTGGAAGTACCATGGCAAAGAAAATGAGGGCTTTGATGTGGCTACATGCTTAATAGTCTAGGTAACATACAAACAATATTTGCCTCACTGCTACAACTTCAAAGGCTTGCCTAGCATAATTACTTTTTTAGAAGACAGGTGATCTAGCAGGAAAAGAAGATCTGATGTGAGGGAGGTCATCAAAGAAAAGGTAAGTATTGAAAGAGAAATGATTCACTTTGCTCTGAGGTAGGATAGCAAAGACCTTTGTGGAAGCTTTTGGACTGAATCCGTGTGATTAATCACAGGCTGAGGGGTGACTGGGCTGGGCAAAAAATACCTGAGTCACAGCCTGGATCCCAGCTGCCATCGAAAGCTGCGAATCCTGCACCAGATGCCAGCACGAGCTCTCCGTTCAGGGGCAGGTACTAGATGAAGGGATTCAGAGTATTACTGTGTGGTCATGCTGCCAGCCACACAGGATTTTAATCAAATAACAGTGCTAATTTTTAGGCTGCCTATTACACTTGCTGTCTCCAAGGCACTTTACAGTCATTAGGAGTTACCCTCGTCATGCCCCACACTTATGGGAAAGTATCAGCTCCTGTTTTAACATGTGGGGATGCTGCAATGGGGAGAGGCATTTTGACATCATCTTCCAGTACCACAGAGAAGCATGAAGCATTCAGAGAAACAAGAACAACAAAAAACCAAAGCTCTTTTAACAGCTCCTTCCTCTTGCACACACTCCCAGCAGTTCAGGAATGGCTTTATACCTTGGTATACCACGAAAAACCCAACTGTACTCTGCAAGTGCCCAGCAATCCTCTTGTTTAATGGGTTCCCACCTCTGAGGGCTGCACTTGCCCCACAAAAAAGAACTTGGGGACCCAAGCAATGCTTGGTGAGGTGTCAGCTAGTGAGTTTGCACTTGGCGCAGGCTAAGGAAAGCACACAGCGGCATTTGGTGCAGATTGCCATAGCAAGACTCTCTTCTTGTTGGGTAGGTCGTTACCAGCAGGGAGTCAGGGTCACCACACTTGCCTGGCTTCAGCCTGGCCAAGCTTCTGCTCAGGGGCACAAGGACAAACCTCAACAGGCACAGCTCTGCCATGGGACCCCTTTTGGCAAGGAGCTATGGCCACCGAGGTCACCAGCCAGCACTGCCAACCCCAGGACAGGCCTTGGCAAACAACTGGCAGGTGACTCGTTCACAGCACGTGGGTTATTCAGCCCAGCCCATATTATTTTGCAGTTAGAAATGGCCAGAGAGAAAGTCAGATTTTCTCCCAGTACTTCTGTTGCGTTTTAACCCCAGTTGGCACTAAGCACCACACAGCCAATTGCTCACTCTCCCCCTAGCCCCTGGCAGGATGGGGAGAGAATCAGAAAAAGGTAAAATCCACAGGTTGGTAAGAACAGTAATAGCAATAGCAATAATAATAATAATAATAATAGGGAAAAAACAGAGAGGAATGAAACCCAAGAAAGACAAGTGATGCACAATGCAATTGCTCACCACCCACTGACCAATGCCTAGCCCATCCCTGAGAAGTGATTGGTGGCTCCTGGCAAACTCCCCCAGTTTCTATACTAACCGTGGATGTTCTATGGTATGGAATATCCCTTTGGCTGGTTTGGGTCAGCTGCCCTGGTTATGCTACCTCCCAGTCCCTTGTGTCCATCCTCTCTGGCAGAGCATTGGAAACTTATAAGCTCTTGATTTAGAGTAAGCACTACTTTGCAACAACTAAAACGCTGGTGTGTTATCAGCATTATTCTCATACTAAATCCAAAACACAGCACTGTACCAGCGACTAAAAATAAAATTAACTCTATCCCAGCCAAAACCAGGACAATTTTCCCATGTCAGGGCATGAGTGATGTTCATGGCTCCCTTCTCCTCTAACTCAGTCTATCCATAGATCACTCCCCAAGCAGCAGCTGGAAGCCCTCTAGGGCTGCGTTATGCTGATGCACTGGGTCCTGTATTCAGGCAGAAGCACATTAGATGGGAATTTAAGGTTTCATCTCCTTAACTGGTCTTTAAATATGCATGTGGGTTAGAGAAAGCAAGACTTAGGAAAGACTGCTGCCAGTGGCTGGAAACGCTCTGCACCTAGTCATCAGTTGGAAAGGCTGCCTGCCAGTGGCTGCAATAGCTCTGCCCTTGGGGCACTCTGTCCTGAGGACGCCCTGTCCCACACAGGGACTGTCTTGGCAGGAGGTTGACATAGCAAAAGGCTACTCACCCCCAAGCTGTAGGCAGCTGTTAAGAAGTTTAGTGCCTTGGCGGTGTGGTGCTTTGAAGGCCATAGCCCAAGCCCCCCTCTTGATTCAGGAACTGTGAGACAGGGTAGAGAGCAGAAGGCAGCTGCCACCAAGAAGAGCCCTGCACTGCTCCTGTGCACCAATGGCTTCAGACCCAGCAATGTTGTAGGCTGGGCTGGACAACAGGGGATGACTGTCCTGGGTTCAGCTACAGCAGTCATTTTTTCTCCTTCTTAGTAGCTGGTGCAGTGCTGTGTTTTTGACTTTCAGTCTGGGAACAACGCTGATAACACCGATGTTTTTAGTTGTTGCTAAGTAATGTTTACTCTGACCAAGGACTTTCTCAGTCTCATGCTTTGCCAGAGAGGAGGGGAAGCCAGGAGGAAGCAGAGGCAGGACACCTGACCCAAACTGGCCAAAGGGGTATTCCATACCACAGCACGTCATGCCCAGTATATAAACTGGGGAGAGTTACCCGGAAGGCCCAGATCGCTGCTCGGGTCGGGCTGGGTATCGGTCGGCGGGTGGTGAGCGGTTGTGTCCTTTTCCCTTGTTATTCCTCTTATCATTATTACTGGTAGCAGTAGTGGTTTGTATTATACCTTAGTTACTGGAGAGCTGTTATCTCAACTCGTGGGAGTTACATTCCTTCGATTCTCCTCCCCATCCCTCCGGGAGCGGGGGGAGGAAGGAAAAGGGGGGGAGTGAGCGAGCGGCTGCGTGGTTCCAAGTTGCCGGCTGGGTTTGAACCACGACAATGACAATGTAAATAGCTGAGGTCTGGACAACATTTGCCACAAGGGTATGGAGTCTCCCCACCAGACAGGGAGAAGCCTGTAAGATCATAGCATGTGTCACGCCTAACTGGAAACCATGCTATCATGCTCTTTGCATTTCTATTACTCTTGGGTAAAGCAGATTTCTCCAATACTGAAGCACTGACAGAGGCTGAAACATCTGCCAGGATATGAATGGCACTGTGCCCTTTAGCTGCAGATATAAAAGCCGTGTCTAGTGACATTTCGATGCTCGGGACTTGGCCTGCTTTGGGCTAGGCAAGGTCTATCTAGGCTACCAGCTTCTCTCACAGGGAGCTTCTTTCACAGGGTGCTTCACTTCACAAGTGCTCTGGCTTGTTTTCCTGTGAACCAACACAGGAATGAGTGGTGGGACACTTTGGAGCAGTCAGCTAACACCTATACCCAGGGCAGGTACCAGCAGCACTGCCAGCCACATGCCTTCTCGCCAACCTGCTGGGCCATTTCACTCATTGCTGCCTCTTGCTTAGCATACAGGTTGCCACCCTGCAGCCTGCTGTGCACGATGGGGCCAAGCAGGGAGGGTGGCCAGCTGCCTGCTGGGGTCCAGCTGAGAAAGTGAGGGTGGGTTTTTGGATGGGATACAGTGGAATGTTTCACCAGAGCTGGGTACCAGCTCTTCACAGCAGTCACCTGTGAGCACTCAGGCCTGTAGCTGGCAGGATCTCTGGATGGAGGAAAAAAAAAAATCAGTCAGCAGCTGCTGGTGATGGACATGGGTGACACAGTAGGGCATGACCGGCTGGCCTCTGCTTGCTTTCCCAAGCTGCAGAAGTCGGCATTTGTGAGTGTTGTGGCTGGATCAAGATGGGGAAGCCCCTGCTTTCATACTTGCCTTAAAGACACTCACAGCTCCTTCCCTGCAGTTACCATACACTTTGATTACAGCTGTGGGTCAGAGTGTCTCGAATGCCCTGTAGTGGCCATGCAGGACACAATGAGCTTTCCTGTCCATGGGGTTGTTCATTCAGACCTTCACAAATTAACTAGAATGAAAGAAAGAGCTACAGACACAACACTTAGACAAATAAATGCCTAGATTTGTAAGCTGCATCACTCACATGGCTCCAGGGAGCAATGCAAGAGCATCATGTGCATGCATTACGCACATAGCGAAGCAAGGAAAACCTGGTAAGGATTCACACAGCACAGCTGAGTTCAGAATGGCAAGACCAAGAGCTGAGGTGGGCTTGCTCGGTTAGAGATACACACACACATGCACACATGGATGCACAGATGCTGGTCCAGTGACCAACCGAGGTTACATCCTCCTGTGCCTGGGAGGGCGCAGGTGAGCGGGGTCTGGATGGGTGCAGAGCAGGCGGAGGGTCAGCAGTGCATGGCCCCAGTCCTGCCACTGCAGAGCTGGGAGAAAACACTCATGCTGAACCTGCCCCACTCCTGCAGTGCCTGTGCAGGGTTCTGGAGACACTGGCCTCTGGGCTTTCTGGAGAAGATGCAGCTTCTCCAGCTACCACTGGAGATCCCCATCCACCACCAAGGCCAAAACCTCAGGCTGGCTGGACTTCCCAAGCCCAGAGGAAGCTGTCCACATGAGTGTGAGTGTGAGGGAAATAAGAGTCCCACAGGACAGATGTTGTCCCAGCTGCTGACCCCTCCACACTCTAGGACTGCCCAAACGCTGTTACCATCAGCCCTGGAATTAAAATGGAACACAATGAGATGCAAACAGGGGTATGGAGTCATCTCATCTCCACAGATATGAAGTGCAAGAAGAGTCCTGTACTGCTTCATAGCAGGAATTTCTGAGGCTGACTCCTGCAGCTACGGCTCCCTGCCCACCAAGGCAGAAGTGGTGTACATCCACTACCGGCCCTCCCCAAGACACACACCACTGGGAAGCATTTCGGAAGTGGCTCTGTCATCCAGTAGATTTTAGTTTGTAGTTTGCCCTTTCTTTTTGCCCACCATAAGTTAAGCATCTCAGCTTGCTGCAGAGGACAAATGGAGACTCTGGCTGGGCAGTGGCTTTCTGGTTTGGGAGTTTAGTATAGAAATCGCATAAAAGCTGGGCCACTTTCCAAGTACATTTTGAACTGAGCAATGACATGTACCAAAGGACCCGAGCCAAAACACTGGCAGTTTCATCTGCTTTCTCTTCCTCCTGCCAACCTCAAGGGCCATTAATACAGTGAGCTTAGAGTCCCATTAGTCACTTCCCATCCCTGATACTGGTAAATGACTTATCTCCTCAGTCATCATTATCAAGTGTAATGACAACTGAAACAGTCTTGATTTTTCTCATCAAAGTCAGCAAAGGAGGAAAGACCCCATGTGGCTCTGAATGCAGAATCACCACATTTACACCCGCAGCATTG